GGTACAGTTGCAGTAATCAAAAATTAGTCCCCAAAAGCCACAGATAGACTTAACTTGGCTCTAAGTTTCTTGAAATGGCATGTGGGTGAATATTTTGAATCAAAATGATGAATATGAACATGTAAACCAGTTTGTATGCACCAACTTTCAAAACCACTTGAAATAAGTATCAAATATTTTGCAGTTATGAAGTATACAAAAAGTTTTTCTTCAGCTCAGAAAAAAATATCCAGGAATTAGCACCGCTCTTAATTTATATTTTGTTATTCCATTAGAAACGAAGACGGCAGCAACTCTGATTCATTCATGTCTAGATATGCATGCATAAATCATGACAACAGTGCTACAGTTCCAACTAACAATCAAGATGCAAATGAATATGATGAAAAAACAAACTTGTTACCTAGATCAGGTATTGGAACTACCACTGATGATAAACAACTACTTTGTTGAAATTTTGCTCAAAAGTTATAAGAATATTCAACAAATCATCATTTTACACTTATTTTTTAGTGGTTTTTAGCAAGTCATTTTTGTGACATTTGGTTTGTGCTTGTTACTGTGTTTTTTGACATGCTTCAAATTCTAATTCATCAGTATATATCATGATTCTTCATCTGGAAACATGTCAGTATTCCAGTTTCACACTGACCGCTTCTACAAGGTTCTATGCAGGAAACCAGTTAAAAAAATGTTTTCTAGTGGAACGAAATAGTAGCAATGTATGTGAATAGTAGTATTAAATTATTTAAAAATTCTGCAGTTGATAATGAATTAAAATATTCAAAAATGCTGCTTCCACTATTTATTCTTAGGTAATATGGATCTGTTTGAGCCATGCAGCTCTGTTCTACTAGTACACAATTTTTTACAATCATAGTATTTGAAATTTATTGTATTCAAAACTCGTTTTTTTTCTTTTGTGTTAAGTACTCCGCTTCTTAAGATTTCAATATACACAATGTATTGTTTTACCTTGCCAGTGTCAGTTGCATTTTACTTGTCTCTTAAAACCTGTTCATTTTATTCATCATACTGTATTAGCTTCTTTTCTTACCTTTTGCCTCAACTTCGACCAGCAGTTTACTGATAGTGTGACATCAAATTTTTTTTCAGATACGATTTACCAAAGAATATAGTTAATGAATTTGAAAAAAAAAATCTTAAATTTGTCTATATATTTTAAAATGAATTGGTTGTTAGAATTACAGTTGTAATATTTGGTTTTGTAGACCGAAGTGGGATATTTGCATTCAACTTTATTATATAATTTATTTAATATTTGTTGGCATGTTTTAGTGCTATTCTTGTTATTTGCAGGTCATGATTTTACTGTGCTTTCAGTTTGCCTATATCCAGTGGTGGGATTCAAATTTTTTGTCAGCCGGTTCTGTTACAAACAGAACATTGACAGTAACCAGTAATGCTAACCGGTTCGCTGATCTCATAAAATTCCGTGAGACGGTTCTATAGAACCGGCTGAATCCCACCACTGCCTATATTCTAATTTATGTGTCTAGCCTTAAAATAACCAAGCTCATCAAGAGAGATTGTGGCAAACTGACCTATCCCCCCAACCCCAATTACTTATTTTCAATGCTTTTGACATGTCGTCAAACTGGTCTGCCGTTTTATGCCTTTAATATCTTTTATTAGTTACTACTGTGCTAATCAATAAAATCCTCTATTGTTGGCAAAATTCATTTTTAATAAGCTACAGCAGTGATGCGCCTTCCAACTTGTTCTATGAAATTAGGCACACAACTTCGTTCATGTTAGAACAAGAAACTGATGGCTGCAGTGGACGTTTTTTTTCTACACGTATAAAAGCATCACTTAAATATCACAAGAAAGAAGAACCAATTATGAGTAGGGCTGGGCGATTCGACCTTCGAAACGGATATTATGACGTCATAGCAAATGCAACCTGAAATTAGTCAAGGTATCATTCAGGGATTTCCAATTCGAATTTTTTCGAATATCGTGACTCTCAAATATCGTTTTTAGTGTTTATAAGAATATTAAATATCGCACAAATGTCCTGGGCGCCGCCATCCACGTTTTGATTGAAAATTTTCACAATCATTTCATTTTTTATCGTATACGGAGACACTCTTTGCGAGGCGCAATAAATTACTGTCGACATAAAAGGATTTAAGTCAGCGCTGACTTGAAGTACTTATAACACGTCGAGGAAGTTTTTAATTGAAAGTATTTTACAATCATTATGGTATATTTCAACATAGAGATATATATGAGATAGTCTGGGTAACCGCGCAATAAATCTAAAATCAAATCATATTTAGCTCAACGATGTCACGCTGACGATAAACAGTCCCGAGTCATGACGAAAATTAGCCGTATCAAAAAAATCGAGTTAATGTTGATTTTACTGTATAATTTAAACATTCCACCTAGTTGTTCTTCTTTCTGTGCTTGCCAAGATAAACTAAATACTGTAATGTTTATCAAGTCCATTTCCTTAGAGCAGTGTTTCCCAACCCGAGTCCGCGGTCTCAAATGACTCCGCAAAGCGTTTGAATGAGTCCGCAACGAGCCAGAAATTCATTGCGGGCCGCAAACGTTTTTGCGAAACTTGACCATTAGCAAAGTTTCGAATTAGGTTACAACTTACATAAAATTTAAAAATCAAATTTATGCATATACCATTATTCGAGTCAATAATCACTGGGTACTGAGTAGGGCTGGGCATATATATATTCGAAAATTCAACTATTAGAATAGCAATTTACTATTTGAAAATTTGGTAACAGGTGACGCGACAGGCCACTTGCGCGTCGCTTAATCAAACGATTGGAGTTCACAACTCACTTGCGGATTTCCGACGTAAACACGAGTCGGCAAACGCGTGGATAGATATCTAAGTGGCGTTTCTCGCGAGCTCGAACAACGAGGAATAATTTTCTTTTCTGGTAGGTGTCAATGGTGGCAACCTAAATTTTCTAAATTTGAAAGCGGCAATACAAAATACTAAAAATAAAACGGAAAACACCATAAGTTAAGTTCTATGATGGTCCTCGACCAATTAAAAACGCTTTTTTAGACATTGCAAATCGCAAAATTTCGGGTGCTACTGTAGTATCCGTATCAGGGCATTTTCCCTTAGGATTCTTCGCTTTACTGCCTCCACATTGGTACGCACAGTACTGGAGCGCCGTGAGTGTTATACAAACAGCTCAGATTTGTCGAATTCACAAAAATACGAATCAAAACAACATATAATCGGGCACTTTATCACGCATTTTTGTGTCCACGAATTGTCATGATATTTTCTGAGTAGAATTGCTTCTATTTCGTCAACACAACCGCAGATTAAAATTATCACAATTAAAGTAATATTTTTTATTTACTAATATACTTTAATTATATTTTTAATAAATATCAAATCAAGTTGTACTTTCTGGAAATTTATAGCAGATAGTAGGATTTTTCTAACAGCGATAACAAATCTGCAAGATCGCAAAAAATATGTATCAAAACTAAATATAATCGGGCAATATATTCTCACATTATCATGTTCGCAGATTGTCGTGGCATTAGAGAAGTAGTGCTTTTATCTTGTCATAAGTCGACGCAACTGCGAGTGACCATGAACACAACTAGATTAAAATAGAAATACATTTTATATTCTCGTCGTTGTCATGGATTGAATATTATGCGACAGAAAAGGCCATTCATACACTAAAAAAGTTGGCTCTATCAACAAACGCGCAATTGCGGCGAATTTCCGATTTTGAAATTCGTTGAAAATTCTGTTCTGTTTGGTTTTATTACTCCTTCACGCAGAGTAGGCTACATTTGCAACAAACGCACGTTGAGTCCGCAAAGGCTTTCGCCGGTGAGAAAATAGTCCGCGACCAAAAAAGGTTGGGAAACGCTGCCTTACAGCAAAAAAATAACTAATTTCAGTCAATAAAAGCCCAATTCCTATAGTTTAGAATGTATTCGGAATTCGAAAGATTCAAAAATATCTTTTTCCAGAATGTATTTGAAATAGTCAGGTATTCGGTTATAGCTCTCCCTGGTATAATCACCACACTGGATCACAAGGATTTGTGGCATCGGATAAAGTAGAAAATGACCCCACTTATTACATTAGATAAGGGCAGTGCCGCATTGAGAGGCCCCATGCTATGCTGCTTGTGAGCCCATCTCTAACAATGACGTAATTCGTATTATCCTGGTGCCATTTGGCCGCTGCTTTGTCATTGAGCAGATACCTTCGTGGAATTATTATGATCGTTTTATCCTCTCGAATTAGTATCCAGTGCTTTCCTTTTGTGGATTTAATTGTGGAAAATAGATGTCATTATACATTAAATTCGATGGGTAATATTGGTATCATATTTTACTGTTTATGACAAACGTGTGTTTCGTTTCGATTATGCCCAGCCCTAATTATGAGACCTCGCTTAGACAGCTTTCCAGGAGTACCGTTTATTCATATCAACAAGGAGGCAGGCTCTACATCTGGTCTTTTAACTGACCAACAATATTGTTCGTTGAAAAGTAGCAGAACTAACTAAATCAATCACTTGTCTTTGATATTTCAGTGTTGTACTCATTGCTCTTAGAGTTCCCCAAGGGTTAATTCTTGGACCTACGTTGTTCCTATTATTCATCAATGATCGAACTCATTTCTGACTTTATGGTTTTGTCAATTATTCCAGATACTGTTCTGATTTCGATGTCAGACTAAACCCTAGATGAATCAAATACATTGACTGGTTGGTTACACCATCTCCGAGGATTCTTCTTTAAATAATGTATATCAATGGCATTAAACGCTTCCCCGAAATTGGGATTCCCTTACCATGCTGGACGGTATTTGACCCATGAGTGCGCACTCCACTCTTAAAAAATCACGTTTATGCCTGGAGGTCATATTTGGCTTGATGCTCCTGTGACAAACTTGCCTCATTTAGAGGGGACCACGGCAATAAAAAAGCAAAACACTGAAAAATCATTAAGCAAAACACTGAAAAATTATAGGAGTTCGATCCTCATTAAAAAGGCGAAAATACATTCAAGCCTTAAAAAGTAGACACCAAGAAAATATTTCAGTGTATACAATGCAAGAGACTTGCTCTTCATACTGGAATAACTAACATTTACGCATTCGAACCATCCGAAAGCTCACTTAGCCACCACTCTGAAGAATTTTTGTCGACTTGAACCTTTGCGTTTTGTCTTACCAACCAATGCTATGCTATTTATCAGTATCTTTTAAATTGATTTCTTGGCTGTAATTGCCTGACCAGTGACCACCCATCACCAAATGCAAATTGCAAACATCAATCACAAGGGCGCATTATGTTGCTCATGAAGCTTTGGAGCTCAACTGTGGAATCATCATCCAAGTAACTTGCATATGATTTCTTCCCTTCAATATGCCAACTCTTCCCGGTTGACAAATGGATATGCAACAAAATCTGCCGCTTTCGAGCCATCTTTATTATAATGAAGCATCCTGAAGCAAGCATCACAGAAAAAAGATGGATCTTCGTCAGATAATTCATCATTTCTTGTCAACCACGTAGCAACGAAAAAATTACATACCTGCGTTCAGAAAATAAAAGACATCTCCGGTAATTAAAACACTCGGAAAGCAAATTGATGAGAAAAAATATAAATGTTTGCTACCCGTTCGACAAATTAATGCATAGTCATCTATATATATATATAGTAGTATTATTTTGTCTACCCCGAAGAGAAGGTCATCTAAAGATACATAGATTAGTATAAAGGTCGTTAACCTAATTCAAGAGCATTGACACCAACCTTGCATATAAAAGACTTGAACTTCGCACGAGATATGGAAAGGGGGTAATTTGATCTTGATTGGCAGTCGTCCGAATGAAGCAATCTGAAAGTAGAATACAGATTTGAATTAAAACAAAATGTTGATTTTTTGTCAATTAAAAGCTTAACATATTGTAACCAGCAGTTTTGTGCCTGAATCAAATTTAGCCGCAACTTACCTGATATCCTTGAATATTATGACATGTTCACAATTGCCCTGATGCATGTAGAGATAAGGTGAGCCGAGACACAAATCTAAATCATCAAATGTATAGTCTTCCATATTAAGACATTTGCAATCTGAGGGCATTTCCGCACCATTTGCTTCTACCCAGTCGAAAATAATTCTGCATACATTAACAAAACAAGCTTGTTTAAGCACTCTTAACTGAAAAAAATTCACTTGTAATTGTAACCCATGTTGTAATGCACGCACAAACATAACACAGACAAGAACAATGATACCTTTTAGTGTTAATCTTAACAGTTGAACCCACAAGCCAACCAGTGTAAATTGGGTAAGCTATGTTGAACAACAATATCTTCTCTACCCTCTTCAAGTGATATTTTTTGATAATTAGTTGAAGAATTCATATTAAAGACATCCAAGTAGCGCAGGATGCATTCAAACTGTGATTGTATAAATATTGGCCTAATCACCGCTTTGCAATAAGTAATATATACATTTCTATAATGAAATAAACTTACTTGGATATGTCATTTTGAGTTTCGTATCGGTGATCATTGTAAAAAGTATTTTCAATAAAAAAGAATCCAGCTTTATATAAATCTTTACATTTAATATCACGAGGATGATCTGGATTATCAGTAAATTTACCAACTGGTTGCTGATCTATTGCACATGGTATTATATCTCTGAGTTCTGTCAATTTCTACAAAACAATAAATATAAATGCACTAAGATTAACCAAGTCACCAAGAGTAGCATATTACATCACACGAAGAATTTTAGTGGAATTACCGTAATTACAGCTTGCAGTTGAAATGGTACTGGACCCAATTCGACAAATAGATTTTATATACGGTAGACTTGAATCCAAGTTGACATTATTTAAAACGGACCTTTACTGGGACCTATGACTAAAAATGTGAATTGTAGGAATGACAAAACTGACCTGAGATCCTAAAACTCTATAATCAACAGTTGTGTGTTTATATGTTCTATATGATCTTGGAAAATTGACACCAATTGTTATCACAGTTTCTGGACATTTTATTTTATCTTCCTTATTCTTCGCAGGCTTTGATGATAGCTGATTTTCCTGGAAACAAAAACCCAGTTATACCCACTTGAGCCTATCAAACATAAAAAATTTTTTGAAAGTATTGATAATTTTTGGCCATGAAGTTCTTCTCGTGGAATCTTCAACCATACTAGAATGGAACCCAACGGCAACAAGTCCAATGGCCACAGCAGTGGTTTTCAGCCTTTTTGTTAAGGCGGAACACAAATAAAAAACATTTCAGAGGTTCGAGGTGTTAGTTTGATTGTCTGAGTTGTATAAACTATAACTACATATAAAACCGAACCTAATACCAGCAAAACAGAATTATTTTGATGATTAAAGTATACCAAGTGGTGGTATGCTATTTGATTACATTTAAATGATTTACAAAAGGAAAATCTTTTTTAAAATTATGCTTTGGCAAATTCCTCAGCACTACAATACCGGAATCATATAAAAACCAGTCATACAATATACTTTTACCATACAACATATGGAATTGAACAACAGTTTATTATTATATAATAAAGCATTAAATTGAATTATCGTAAAAATCATCTGCCTAATAACAAATTCACAATATACACTAAAATTCATATCTCTATAAATCATACAGAATGCTAAAATAAGAAAACAAAAGAAGAGAATATTCTGAAAATCTTACCAAGTTGCAATCATATTCAGTGTATTTACTCTTGAGAATAATAGTTTTCTTTTCTAGATTCCTCGTTTTATTCAACTTTATCCATGCCTTCACAGTATCCAGTCCAGAATCAGTAGGAATAAGCTTGACATCTTCCCAACGATGGAAGTTTTTCTCTCGAGGACATTCAAGCTTATTTGGACTAAATTGCACAAAAAGTGTATGCTGATGTATTTCTCAACATGAGAGAATTACTAGTGTATTAATGTAATTACAGTGCAGGGGCGGACACTTTCCATAATTTTGGGGGGGCGAACTTGGATCGCCTACCGAAAAACACAGCGCCGTGTATCGTCACGTAACAATAACCTGTCGATGTCATTCTCTAAGTATTAGCATGTCATTTTGCTACTCATATATCGATTACCTAGGCTGCTTTGCTAGGACACGGAACTTGCGCGTCACTGAACCAATTTCTTGCCAACAAACAGAAAATAACAAATTTGAGGTCGGAACTTCCCATTGCTGTCTGCACAAGCACCGCGATTACGCGCTCGTTAAAAGAGCCGCCTATTTAAGCGTATAATGATTTTTCTGTCGATCCATGACAGCCACGAGATTCTAAAATGTCCTTATATATTAATTTAATTGTGTGCAGCGTAACCCGCGGTTGCGAATTCTTACGTCAAAATAAAATTATTACTAAACTAAAGTACCACGGCGATATGGGGAAATAAAAATATGAAATAAGCTGCCTGATGTATTTAATTTTGATACGTATTTTTGCAATCTCCTGAACTTGTTATCGCCTTTACAAAAATCTCGATATCTGATATAAAATCCCATATAGTACAATTTTAATTCATACAATGAAAATAATTATAAAGTATACTAGTAAATCAAAAATACAAATTCACCGCCTCGAAATCCACGCGGAACAGTCGCCGCTATTACGCCACTTGTTAAAAGAGCCGACTTTATCGACGAAAAATGATTTTTCACTTGTGCAAAGTAATCAATCAAAGACCGAAACCGGCATATTCAAAATGTCTTGATTTATTAATTTAATTGTCTTCAATTTAAACTGCGGTTGAGTCGACAAAACAAGAGCTACTCTAAAACACGACGGCAATCCGCGGACATAAAAATGTGTGGTAAACTGCCCGTTTATATATTGTTTTGATACGTATTTTTGCTATTTTGCGAATTCGATAAATTTGAGATGTACTTGTCACACTGGCTTCGCTCAATCGCAATGTTGTCACTCCGATTATTTTTAAAGATAAAACCTTTCGAAAAATTCATAAATTTTCTGTCAATTCTCACGTAGTAAAAGTTATTTCAGTACAATAAAAATACATAAATAAATACAAAAAGTGATCGAATATACTTTAATATCTTATATATCATCACAAACCGGGGAAAAGTCGCGTTGTCAGCTTTGTTTAATGTTAACACGAAAATTTTCAACGTCAATTTAAAAGTAATGGATAAAAAGGCAAATCCCGCTCACAATTGACCGTGTTTCGATTTTAGTGACGAAATGTTTTTAAAGGTCAAGCAAACATAATTTGTGAAATTTTGCGATTTTAAATGCCTAGAAAAGCGTTTTTAGACTGTCGCGGGCCTCAACAAAACTTATTTTATTCACAGTTTTATTTTTAGTATTTTATATTGCCGCTTTTCAACTTTTCGACATAGTAAATGCTTTGATCTTTGCCCGCAAGTTATGCTGGGCCTTGCACGAAATCCATAACGTGAAAAGATACGTCCAGCGGTGAAAATTGTTTATAACAACTTTAGATCTAGTTAATTTTTTAGCGATAATAATTAATTGTTGTAATGAAACACAGTTTGCCTCATTCACTTCTCTCGCAAGTGCAAACAATAACACTATTGAAAGATTTTGACAATGAGAAAATCATATTAAATTGTACAAAAATGAATTAGTTGTGCAAAAACATGACGCGTGAACGGCGGTGCGTTTGAAGACGGAGTATTACCCGTGCGGCGCGCATGTTTCACGAAAATGTGAGGTGCTCCGAAGGCGCACTGGTCCATTATTGTAAGAAAACAGTTATAATATCGGTGACTATTAACCGTTTAATTGCGCTTGACTATCGCACTTTTCGGAAATGATAATTTTGTAAGGCGGAAACAACATGTATTAAATTTTTTTGCGAAATTATTGGGGGGGGGGGGGCGACCGCCCCCCCGGGTGTCCGCCCCTGTATACAGTGCATTAAAAAATGTCAACTGTCACAGAAGACAATTTCTGTGTAACAGACGAAACCAAGTCATCATCAGAATGATAAAATATGCAGTTAGTTCGTTGCCATATATGAGATATGTTGTAAAAAAAGGGTTAAATCAATGTGTAAGTTTATTTCATTCAGAATTGACCTAATCAAACGATTTCTAAGAAGGGGCATTGACTATTGAGGATAGAAAGCAGTTGCATATCTATATCAGTTTAGGAAATTCAGTTAAAAGAATTTGCTTTTTTACTTGTGAAGTCTCTTTAGCAACACAGTACTTGATAAAAACCAACCTACAAACTTCCATCAACTCGGTTGCAGTTTCAACATTCGTGTTCAGATCACGAGCAACATCTTCTGGTGTGTCTGATATTTTCTTATCAATGTTCATGTGAAATTCATCAAGTACTTGTGAGGCATCTTTCTGAAACATAAAATTAGGTCATAGTACACAAAATGGAGAATGTATGGAATATTGCTAGTCATTTTCTAATAATAGTTTACCTTGAACTGCCCGATATGGATTAGTGGTGATATCATTCCCATTGCTTCAGATACTCTGATGCTTACATTTCTCTTCTCATTCAATATTTTAGACATTTTGAAACAAGTACTAATTTACTTACTTATTCTAAAAATATTTTAGTTCATAACTGGGGTGACCATGACGTGAATTGGTAACCATAATCATATAAAACTAAAACATAATTTTATTCCATAAAAAATCTACTGGTTATTCAATAAATAATTGTTACATTTACATTTAATGTTTTCATTCACTTTACGACATTTTATAATTTATTCTTTTCCTGTGATGACTATGTTCTATCAGCTTCAAGAACATTTCTAGAGATGAGATTGCCATTCACCATTCCCTGAATATGATCACATATTATTAGCCGACCCTTTTTCAGCAACACTCTGGTTATTGCATATTCAGTTCAAAAATATATCAACGTAGGACAACTTTAACTGTTCCAAAAGTCAAAACAGATGGCCATAAAAGAATTCATCTCCTATGGCGGTGGTGTCTGTCACTATGATGATGATCACGACGAGAAGATTCATTTCTCCTGCTATCTCTATGCCTCTCTTTACTACTGTCTTTTTTCTTTTTATCATTCTCTCTTCTCCTTTGATTTAAAGGATTTCTGGGATCAGTGATTTCATATCTATCTTCATTAACATCTCTGTTCATATCCTTAGCATCTCTAAGTTCATGGTCTACATTCTTAAATTTATGATTCATCCATCCAACAACATTAAAATTGTTGTCATCATCATCTTTAGCTTCATCTTCACTACTCTCTTCTTCCTTTACCGCCAACATCTTAGAGCGAAAGCTGCCCAGCATTGCAAGTGTTTGCTGTTCTCGTGAGAATCCTTTCTTATTTGTTCCAACAATTTTATCCCGATAGATTTTTTGTTGAGCTTTATATTCAGCAAACATTTGATTTGAAGATGCAGTATTAGTTTCATTGTCACTTCCAGATGATGAATCATCTTTTTCAATATTTTCTTTAGACTTTCCTGCTAGTTCTCTGGCAAGCATTCTGGACTCGTTACGAAGTTGTTTCAGTTTTTCATCCTTTATGTTTTCTTTAGAAATCGTCTTTTCAGTTGTATCAGACCTATCTATTTTTGCCCTTTTCGCTGCTGTAAGTTTGTCTTTTATTCGTTGCCTAGAATTCTTTTTTTCTTCTTTTCCTGAAGAAGACTCATCAGTAGAATCTGACGATGAAGACTCACTTTTGTCTCTGTCTCGTTTACATGTTTCTTCATTATCATTTTCCTCAAGTTTAGAAATAGCTGGTGCAGCACTCAATTTAGGATCTTTTGCCAAGTCATGACTACTTTTTGAACCTTTGAAAGATAATTCAATGGATTCTTCTTCATCAAACTCTGCTTCATCCCCAAAAGATAATAATTTGTAATCCTTCGTGGCACGAGATTGACTCTTAGCCTTTGTTTTATCATCTTTCTTTTTCCTATTTCTCTCAGGCTCTACTCTGGGTTCAATGTCATCAAATGGATTAGCAAGAACTTTTGTCCATTTTATCATTGGGGGATTTAAAGGTCTTTCATTTTCATCTACATCAACCTCACCAAGCCTAACCATGTTATATACAGTATCACCCGTAACTTTAGCAAATATTGTATGTTTTTTGTTCAAATCATTACATGGACCCAAGGTAAAGAAAAATTGGCTAGCATTGTCATTTGGACCAGCATTAGCCATCGCCACGAGTCCTCTTCGAACAAAACGTAATCTTTGATGCAGTTCATCTTTGAAAGGTTTACCAAAAATAGATTCACCACCAGATCCAGTCCCAGTAGGATCACCTCCCTGGACTATGAAACCTGGCACTACGCGATGAAATATAACATTGTCATAATATCCCTCCATACATAATTGCACAAAGTTTCTGCATGCTATAGGTGCCTCTTTCGACCATAATTCAATATCAATATCCCCAAGTGATGTATGCAAAAGAACTTTGCCATTGGTTGAGGGCTCTTTAATGTAAATGTTGCTCATTATAATTATTTATCTGTGAAAGAATTCAAATATTAGTTAACAATAAAGCTGAACAAGAAAGGATGCCTGAAAATCAGGCCTTGTTTACTATGGGTTTACCACATAAATAGGAACAGATTGAATAAAATAAAAAGAATGATTTAAAAAACAAAGATTGTAGCCCAGGATTCTGGTGCTAGAGACCACTAAAATAAAATAATGATTTGTAACTCTTATGAGACCCAATTATGTAACTAAACCTGTCATGATGACAAAAATGAAACATGGTTTAGAACAGGGGTGGGCAAAGTTTTCGGATCAAGGGCCAAAAATTTTGCACACCTAGACTGGAGGGCCATGTAAGTGTGATGTAAAAAATTACATTTTTTAAACAATATTTACATTGCCATAAAAGCAAAAGTGGAAACAATAAGCCTCATGCTAAAACTAAATTGATTCACAATCTCAACAAATTCATTAGTTAAGCTATTTTCAGCTAAAACACCAAAATTTTAGTTTAGTTTTAGTTTGGTTGTGGCTGCATCAGGCAGGCCAGATTAAATTACCCAACACCACTTTAAAAGAAATCAATTATAACAATCAGTGTGAACACCTTCTTTACGAGACAGTCTGGGCCTCCATATCGGCACAAATCACCAACCTGACACTGCACAATAACTAAAAGAATACGCAATCTAAAAACATCAACATCACATTCTTCGGAAAATAATAATCCAATTTACTGGAAGAAAAAAGAATTTTATCGTAGCATTTGACAGTTTTTAGCAGAAAAAGACATTTTTGGTCACATTATCAAATATCTATCATCACATTCACAACACATAGGTATATATCGCAACAAATCTACCTAATTATAAAGAATTAAGCAATTGCAATTTGCCGATATGCATAAACAATTTCTGGTTCGGTGTTTAGATTAACACACCGTGATTTCAAGACGTGAATACAGGAGTAGCAGATTGTTCTCATTTTTAAATTAGTGTGGTAATGAATGTGATAATGCAAAGTAACTACGTTATGATACCCAGTAATAGGAAACTGACAAATCTTTAACCAAGTTATATGTAAATGCCTTATCGCACAGGTGTATAAAACAAATTGAATATTCAAATACATTCACAATTCATTATTTTCAATATAGTAAATATTTGAATTTAGTAGTTGGGAACATTTTTATCAAAAAATTAGGAATTTTGAGTCATCAGACAAGTAGATCAAAATGTATGATATCCCAACTGCTAAGAAACAACAAAAACAATTACCTTTCGTATTTATGTCGTTTTAGATATGAGTAACATGAAGAAGATATAGACAAATGATTTCTGCAATCTTTCACATGAACGTGACGATAATTTAAAACATATTCGATATTTCATATTCCTCCCTTCATATTCGTATCCGAAAATATTTTCTCAGAATTTACTTGAAATAATTAAATATATAGTAATATAAGTACACAGAGAGAATCAATGTCTGTTATTTGTCACCATCAAAAGCAGAAGTATAGTCCAGTAGTCTACTTATATTATGATCAAAATATACTTATGAGTCTTAGACCAGAACAACTGTTTAGTTTGTCTTTAACAGCACCCGTGGCTAAAATATGAACCTCTTCAATATATTTTTATATAAGATGTATATTTCATAAAAAGGGGGGATATCATTTTCTTATTGCTATCAAAACAAATGCCGAAATAGGCAACGGGTACCGGCATTCGTCTATGTCTGTATGTACAGAATTGATTCAACTCAATTTTATAAAAAAAAAAAATAATGAAAGGAATAGGATGTAGTCTATTATATTTTTTTCAGCTGACTCATAAATAACCCTAAACTAGCGCTTTTAACAATTAGACAATTTCAAACTCAAGAGCACAGTCACGCGGAATACGGTTGTAACTTCAGAGCTTACAGCTGGAAAACCTCAATGTTAATATGTTCAGATGATGGAGTTTGAGTCTTATATGGTTTATTTATGACACTACCAAACCTCTATTCAGCTATTCTGGATTGAAGTGTCCTCAGTCGATCACGATGGTGTAAGAAACTGCTTCGGTCATTCAACTGATGCTCTTTCTCGACTTTGTGCATTCATACATTATTGTTTTGGCGCTGCATGTCAACCTGACACTTGCGGAATGTGACGTAACGTCATGGCTTGTGATTTCGGGCTTAGATCCACGCCCCCTTTTTATCGAAGGTCTTTGATTTTTTGGGTGCGGCTATTTTTGTTGCAATAATTTGAGTCGATGTTTTGTGCCTCTGTGTTACTAGAGAATTATATTTTATGATAGATAGACTATACGAATGTTAACAAATGGCAGCTAACAAAAATAAATCAAATGCTCAAGCTGCGCTTCACAAAGTTATAATGGTTGGAAGTGGAGGAGTTGGCAAATCTGCGCTTACTCTCCAGTTCATGTACGACGAATTTGTTGAAGATTATGAACCAACCAAAGCTGACAGTTATCGAAAAAAGGTAATTTTGGATGGTGAAGATGCTCAAATAGATATTTTAGACACAGCTGGACAAGAAGACTATGCAGCCATCAGAGATAATTATTTTCGAAGTGGAGAAGGTTTTTTGGTTGTATTTTCAATTGCGGAAAAAACCTCTTTTGATGACACCCAGGAATTCAGGGATCAAATATTGCGCGTTAAAGGAGCTGATTCAGTAACAGCGAACAATATTCCATTTATTCTTGTTGGTAATAAGTCTGATTTAGAAGACAAACGTCAAGTCACACAAAGTGAAGCACAACAATTTGCTGATAATATGGGAGTTCAGTATGTCGAAACATCGGCCAAGACAAGAAGCAATGTTGACAAAGTATTTTTCGATTTATTAAAATTGATCAAAGATGAGAAAAACAAAGTCGCGACTGCACAAACTTCAAGCAATAGTCCTGAATCTGAAGACTGTATTGGACGATGCAAAAAATGCTGCACAATTGTTTAATTCCTTATGTCGTCATAATCGCATCACAAAACTTAAGACCATCTGAATGGTAGTTGAAAACAATTCTCTATATAATTTTATTTCAAGACTTGCAGTGGCAAAATTACAACTGCACGTACTTACAGATTTATGTACTTGATCAATGTAAAGCCGCACATTAAATGTGTTTTTTGGTCTTTTAATTTTTTTGAAAAATTTTGTCAATATATGTCAGAGACTATATTCATCTTTCTGCCATAACTCGCTAGTGTTTACCTGTTTGAGTACACCATGTGCAAACTATTTAAAAATAATGCTACTATTCCAATTTTTTAGCACAAATTGTCTTCAAAAATGTTTGAGCAAAGTTGCAGTCATGACAATTTATTTCATGCCCAAACTTTCATATTCCAAAAAATGAGAGAAAAACCATCTTTGAATAGTCACATGTTAACTTTTTTCGGAGAAGCAGGACCTTTGTTTATGGCACTCATTATAGTTTGAAAAATTTTGGAAGTCCAAGGACTTTACTATGAAATTACATATTGTTTGTTGCTATTAGGTAAATTAATTGCTATCCAGTAATCAATCACATGTCATAGCATATGATTAAAAGCCTGTAGATGAAGAATTGGAAATGACTGATTTTATCCTTGTAATTTATGATTCCACAATTTTATCTATAACCTCTGCTTTCTATTTAATTGTATTTCAATTCATAATTTGTTAATACTTCATATCATATTAACCTGCAGATTGATCTTGTTCTTCCTGTAGATAATTTTTGACTTAATTGAGGCTATGATATTGTAGAAAAATTGTAGTGTATTCTCACACTTATTGCTCAACATCTTGAAATGAATAAATATCACTGGTAAAGACCTCACAGTGTGACAATTAGGGCTGGGCATTTCGAATCGAATATTCGAATCGAATCGAATAGTAAATTATTCGAATCGGTTCAGAGCTAAATTTCGAATCGCCGCCATCTTGTTTTTATCTTTCCGCTAATGGTCGAGGTGAAATCTCCAATTTTTTTTTCATTGGAGTCATATTTTTTCAACGAAATTCTAACATATGACTATTTTCTGTAGTGAGTTGTTGATAAAACGTGTTTGTTATTCTGTGTGAACGCTCAGTAATTTGTCTGAGTGATTTATTCTATGTCTTCAGTAATTCATTTGTTGAGAGGACCAATTACTATAATAAAGTCGCTTACAATTATATATTTTCAACTATTCGAGATTCGATTCGATTCGAAAAAATTATTCGATTCGATTCTGAAATCACAAGGTATTCGAAAATGCCCAGCCCTAGTGACAATCAATCAGCACTCAGCAGTAATACTCCTTTAAAGCTTCTGTGAAATAATGCTGTCTGTGTGAAGCATATCTTAGAATCCCAAAGTTGATTATATTATGGTTATCTATATCTTTAAATTATTCTTCCATACAACGAATTATTCTGTGTCTAATTGATTCCTTTGGGACCGATTTGAACATTTAGTATGATACTGCTTAATATCTCGGTATCTAGGATATTTGCTATGTTCTAACTTAACTGAGCAGCTTATCCTATTTCACGAGCTCACATCACAACCCCTTTTTGGAAATAATGTCATTCTAATGTAAATCATGTACAGCCATATTCACCAGTGCTTCAGATTTATGTAATAGCCTGACATTTAAATATTTCGAACACTTTTCAAAATATTTGTCCAAGTACATGATTTATGTGTTATTGTTTTTATCTGAAGTTGGGAGGTGCATTTTATGCAATAGCTTGGGCTTGATATTTTTGATTTCGCTGTTTAGTGTACAATAAATATTATTCCTATTATTAATATTACCTTGTGGTTTATTGTCTGTGTATAAATATGATTTCTTCGTTCAACTTGGTGAATCTTACATTTCTTTCGACCTGTAAGAATATGTCGAGTTTCTATATTTTATTAAATTTTCTGCTAATTGTTGTTTTATTGTGTTTTCGCATACTCTTTAGATTATTGATACATGACATTTTTTGAAAATCATTGACAATGTCAAAGTTGAAAAAAATTGTTGAAGAAGCGAAAGAGTCAAGATGTCGAGAAGTTGATCTCAGTGATAAAGGGATTCAAAATGTGAATGAAGTTCCCGGGCTAAGTATGTAAAAATATGTCCAGATTTGAAAATAGCGTTGAATGTTTTAGAAACATTACTTTTAGAGGTGGTTTTTATCTCCACAGAAGTATATATATCTGATATGACGTATTTTTTCCATGTTGCATGACCCGTGGTGGAAGATCCTTTGTTATGTTATATTTGTAATGGAAATGTTGCGACGTGAATGCCATGATTGGTTGAATTATTCAAATTTGAAATTTTTTTGCCTTCTTCATGCAATTTTAATATATCATATTGCAATATCAAATTCAATGAATTTTCATATTATATGATTTATGCGAAGTTTTATCTCAAACATGACCCAATCTATACTGCATTCAATATTCTAAAATACTGTTTTAGATCAATTTGTAATAGTTTCTCTGCTAGTATGTCTTTTTGGATTGTTTTTCTCTATTTATGTTATTTATTTTGCCTCTGTTTACAATGTTTTATTTTGTGCTATATTTATGAATGTCCTTATTAAGTGTGCGATGTAGAGATGTCTGAATAAGTTTGATCAATTCGAAACCAATATAAGGGAGGACTTTTATGCCAACTCCCTCTTCCAACTGCAAAGTTGATGATGTTTGCCAGATTTTATAGATGTAAAATTTGACATTTCTCATGACATTTCTTTTGTGTTAAATTAACATGAGAAACTATTGTGGTGTTTATGAGATAGAAGTATTTATCTAATTGTGCTGAGTCTTTCTGTACAATTCTTTGTTGAATCAAATTCGAATATTAACATTTTTATCTCAATTATTATTGTATTCAACTTTTGTTTTTCAGTGATGCTGGACCATTTGACACAGTTAACGATGAGTCACAACAAATTAACTGCAGTTCCACCAAGTATCGGAGAACTTGCAAATTTGTCTATTTTAAATCTATTCAACAATTTGATTGAGGAATTACCCACATCACTCAGTGGAATGCAGCAATTAAAGCATTTGAATTTAGGGTGTGTTACCATGACTTGTATTTGATATCCTTTGTCTATTTTATATCTTTTGTCAACTCTCAACAAAACCAATATTGAGTATCGTATTAGTGAAATCATGACCTAGTGATAATTATGAAGATAATTATAACTTATGTATCTAAAATGTAAAATCACTTCATTTCCATCTCTCAGGTCTCCTATATCTTTTTTGACATCTTTAAAAAGTCTTTTAAATTTAAATTTTAAAGCAAGTATCCACATTTTTTACCTGAAAATTTTGTCAAAACCAAACAAAATGATGAAGTTTTTCTTGAGACAGTTTAGAAAGTTGCATCTTTAAATCATACTAATAATATTATAGTTTTTATTTGCAAATTTGAGCATTATACACAGATGCCATGTAAGATATTTTTGCCACCTTTGTTTTGCTATTTTGTCTAAATAAGTTACGTTATTGAGCAGATACTGTCAGAAGTGCCTATACAAGTTCACGCTTCCTATATATAAAGCCATATGACTCATAATATGAGTACTAAATTACAGATTATTGGGCACGAAGTGGGCCTATAGATCATTTTGATATTATGTTGTTAGAATTCTTTTAGTTGTCGTTATGGAAAAATCGTCTTTTATTAATTACTAGACCAATTAATTGCCTTAACATTTTCAGTGGTTAAAGATTTATGTTGTCGCTAGCAGGCTATTACTTGTATTTTTGTGCGCTCTTTGGGATTCGTTTGTAGTGTGTGATGACGTCATTGTTTTGTTGCTTGATCGCTATCTGCCCAGAATAGAAACTCGCATACAACTGAACTTCGTTTATTGAGAACAGTGGCACAACTTAACAATACAACTTAAAACAGTGATCATAAACAAGCGTTAATACGACTGCATAACGACTGGTGAGCCAGACAGATTGATGAGATGTGGTGGGCTGCAACAATTAAGAGTTGTCGCGCTACTCATCATTTGAGTAATCACATTACGTCACTGTCATCAAAATGAAAATGGTGCACCTTGTGGCGGATTCGCACTTGCGCTATTCGCGATTTGGTGGTCAGTCGAAATCACGGTTCAATCAATTCTTTGTGTCCATTTATATTTGAGCATTGATCTCTTGTTCTACATTAGGTGATGCTGATTGTTATTGTCTGCAAAATTTACTAACTGATGTCTTCTTTCTGTTCGATGCTCATTCATTGATACTGGCCAAACAAAGCTTTGAGAGCTGGTGTTATAGCACCACAATATTTTTTCTTATTATTTCAACTCTTCTTGTATTGAAATAATTTAACAAATTATTTTTGGGCTTTTTATACTTTCACATTGTGTTTGCTTAGAAAACTGAATGTTAGAAAGCAATTCCTTAATTCATTTATTTTATTCATTGGTACAGAATGAACAGGTTATACCATCTACCAAGAGGATTTGGTTCCTTTCCGAAGCTTGAAATTCTGGATCTGTCATACAACAATCTTACAGAACAATCGCTTCCAGCAAACTTCTTTTTTATGAGTAAGTACTTTAAAGTTGAATGATTATGCATATACAGTGATACCTCAGTAGTCGATCGAGTCGATACTAAAACAATTCGTGATTCGACCTAAAAATTCTAGTCAAAAATGATGTGGTACTCAAATCTCGTGCTGGAAAACCTGAGCGCGGCACCGAGTGAGATGACGTCATCTGAACGGCACATCTCTGCTACTTTTCGACCATTCAGCAAGAGATATATGGACACGAATGCTGAAACGAGTTGATATGGGTATGCAATCTGTCACAGTAGACTATCGACACAACAATCTTCATGACTAACATGAAATCGGCGCAATTTTTGATGACACGATCGCACGCAAAAAAACGAATCCCATGTAACCCACAGAAATGTGTTTAAACGTACAGTAACTGATATAACACTTTTTATATTTTTGTTATGTTTAATATTTTAATGTGTATGCCTACACATTTAAATAATTATTGTTGTTTAGGTACAAGTTTTTTTATTTTTTGGAATGCGCAAGAACGAATTAAAATAATTACCATTGTTTATTATGGCCAAAAAGTTTTGGTACTCGAACAAATCACATGTCGAACCAGTCCTGAACGAATTATGTTCGACTATCGAGATATCACTGTAATATATATCTAACACTTTAGAGGTGTCAACATTTTCATAGTAGGAATATTGAATAGAAGTATGTTTGGTTCAGATTCATTTTATTGGGCAGTTCTTTATATCTATCAAATAAACTACCATAGTTATCACCAATGTGTTATATATAAAAGCCAATAGCAACTTGTGATTATTGTTACATATTTTTGATTTTAAAAGGCTGATACATTCTAATAAATATGGTGATACAAAATATGAGTCATTCATATAATGAAAACCACAGCCTCTTGATGACAAAGTCCAGGTCATGTATTGGGATAGCTAAGCAGATATGTTTCCAGGTGCTTGGGATTGAGTGATTTCAGATGCTGTAGTCAACCAGCAGTTTTTTGAATTGCTTTGCACACAAGCATCCCCATGGGATTCAAACCTCTGTACTCACTGGGTAATCAGTGATGGAATGGCAAGCTTGTTCTTAATTCTTGACTGAACTACCAGTTTGCATGTTCATACAAATTTGTTATCTCCATTTTCTATTTCAGCGTCATTACGTGGTTTATACCTTGCTGACAATGAGTTTGAAACATTTCCATCAGAAGTTACTAAGCTCAAAAATCTGCAAATAGTGAGTTAATTTTTTTTTGACTTTTCCTTAGTCTTCTTTCGTCTGGATACTTAGTTATTGGTTCATTTATGTCAATGCTCAGGGCTTGGTATTTTGGTGAAGTCACATTATTTAATAATAATGGGATTTTCATTGTTTTTGGATTTGATTTGGAATCAGATTAGTATTAATAACTTCTGTTATAATTGTTATGTACTCATCATATTTTTTACAGCTCAGTCTGAGAGACAATGATTTAGTTTCACTGCCAAAAGAGATAGGTGATTTATCAAAACTAAGAGAACTTCATGTTCAGGGCAATCGTTTGACTGTTCTACCACCTGAAATAGGTAAGAATAAATGATTGTTAGTTTCTTAGTGCTAAATCATGTAAAAATTTGCAATATGTGAATATGAGGCTGAAGATTTAAAACATCAGAGCATGCGATGCCCACCAGTTACCAAGTAAGAAATCGCACAGGCCCATCGTTGACCAACGATTGATCATCCTGCATGACAGCATCTGTTCATGTTCTGGGCCTAATAAGTAATTTAGTCACCAAATTCATAAAAAGATTAAGTGATTTGTTTTTACATCCAAATATGCTCCCTTCTTGCTAATACTTAAAATTTAGGTCTTTCAACATGTATTTTGTTCTAGGTCGACTTGATCTAACTGGATCAAAAGGTGTATTCAAGGTGGATCGTAACCCTTGGGTTCAACCTATCAAAGATCAATTTCAACTTGGAATCAATCATGTTTTCGATTATATCAAATCTGAAACTTATGAATAGTGAGTGTCATATTAACATCTTTTCTATTCATTGAAAGATTATAGAACACATGTGAAGACATACACACCTTATTAGGTTAAAAGGGCAGCCGTGATTAGTGAGTTAAAGGAAAAAAAACATCGACACACAGTGTAGACATTCCGAGGAGGAAGAATTTCAATATATACATGGTGTTGCAGTAAATCCTTATATTTGAATAAGGTTATTCGAATAAATCACTCATATTTTCGATTATATCAAATCTGATACTTATGAATAGTGAGTGTCATAGCATGTTTTCTTTTTATAGAAAAAATTCTTTAATGCAGATCCAGTAGAATATTGGTGAGTAATGAAAATGCTTAGAAATGTTTGACCTAGCCTTGATAGAATACACAGGTAAATAGCGATAATATTAGGTTGAAAGGGCAGCCGTGCTTAGTGAGACAAAGGAAAAAGCGATATGCGGTGTAGACATCTTGATCAGGAAGAATTTCAATATATACAGGGTGTCGCAGTACACATGGTGTCTTATATTTAACTTACCGTAGGTGATTCGAGTAAAGTAATGTTCCGTAACCAGTATGATAGCCTAACATATAAAAGACTAATTCATTTGTGGAAAAGTTTTCACTCGTCGAAGAGTAGACAGTTGCCTCTGATTGTGCATGGATGAAGGATTCAGCAAAGTAAGATATTACATTTATATGTTAGATTAGTTTTATGATTGAGGCTGGAGGAAGAGTAATATATGTCCTTGCCAGGTATTGTATGGAAAAAGTGAGAAGTACCTAGTTGGTGTTTTTTGAGACGAGCTCCATTAAGAGTTGTTGTCGAACTAAAATTGAGGTTAAATTTAGAAAACAAAATTATTGATGTTGATGGATTGTGGCGGCTGAGCAAATTTTGTTCCTTTTATAAAAATCAAATATTTTTAATTCAATGATAGGGTTATTCTTTTATGATTATTTGGTTTCTGCGAGACTAACTACTTATCCTTCTTCTATGTTTTTGTGCCGGTGGATCCGTATGCGTATAATGCAAGGATGCTGTAGCAAGAGTAAAGATAACAATCCTAAGTGATTCAAGAGTCTTGCTGCACACTAACACAAATATATTTCTGTAACGTTTCGTCTGACCAAGGTCAGACTTCTTCAGACATACATAATTCAACTACAACACGAAAAGCAGTTACATGCATATTTAAACAATCATAGTAGAATTATAGGAGTCACGCATGTTAAATAATCAATTAAATCTGTGAATTTCTTGATTAAATAACAGCGGGTGGCCGAAATAAGTGTCATTGATGAGATCTCTCTCTTTGTTTTATATTTAGCAATTGAAGTCCAAATTAGACAATGGTGTTTTATTTCTCAGTATTGTATAATGCAGACCAGAAAAGTTGTCTGTGTGTCAAATGTAATATAGTGATATTTTGTCTGTTATTAGCATATCTGGCCATGCATGATCCAATTCTGAGAAAAAAATATATTAGGTACAAGAATTGATTAAAACAATGAATGAAAATATCTAAACTTCCTTAATATTCATCCCTTGTGGCTCGTGTGTCCCGAAAAGATGAATGTAATGGGATTCCTTGTTCTTTCGATAAATGTGGTCATGAAATAGTTTTTCAATGCCAATGACACTCAAATCTTTAAGCGAATGTCCCGGTTGACTGAAATGGGCGCCAACAACCAGATCTTTGTTTTGGGTTTTTATACTTCTAATATGCTCAGTTATTCGGTATTTTAAATGTCTTCCCGTTTCTCCTATGTATTGCATGCCACACTTTTTGCAGCTTATCAGGTAGATTACATTTTCCGAGTTGCATGTAACTTTTTGACGAATCCTTATTTCTGCTGTCTTCTGTTTGTTTGTTGCAATTTTCCTTTCTTCGGAATATTGGCAGGTACTGCACGATTTTCTGCCACATTTGAAAAAGCCTGGATACTTTTTAACGGGAGTTTCTGGTTTCAATTTTGCTCTGACTAATTTGTCCCTTAGTGTGGGGCATTTACGATAGGCTAATCTTGGTGGTTTTGGGAAAATTTCTTTTAGTCTATCGTTGTTATCTAGTATGTATTGATAATCTGAAAATATTTTTCGAAGGTTTGGTTGGGTCGGGTGATAGTTTGTGATGAAGGGAAGCAAAGTTTCTTTTTTGGTTTCAGTTTTTGGGATTAAAAGGAGTTTTCTGTCGAGTTCTTTTGCAGATTGTATTGCATCGTCAACTAAATTTTCTTTGTAGTTTCTCTTCGTGAGGTATGTTTTCATTATTTTTGCATGTTTATCAAAGAGCTCATTTGTTGAACAGGTTCTTCTTATTCTGATGAATAGACTTTTTGGGATATTTTTAGTGACATGTTTAGGGTGGCAGGACGATGGCGAAAGATACTGGTGCGAGTCGGTTTCTTTGCTGAAGATTTCCGTTTCCAATTTGTTATTAATGATATGAACCTTAACATCCAAAAACGTAATCCAGTTTGTTGAGCATTCAAATGTAAATTTGATTTTTGGATGTAAAGAATTTGCAAAGGTAACAAATTCTGATAGTTTCTCTTTGCCATGTGTCCATATAAGAAAACAATCATCAATAAAGCGGCAATAGTACTGTGGTTTTAAAGGGGTTTTGTCTAATAAATTGGATTCCAGGTTTGCCATAAAAATGTTTGCATACTTGGGTGCCAATTTTGTTCCCATCGCAGTTCCCTGAATTTGAAGGTAATGTTGTTCGTCAAAAACGAAGTTGTTGTTTGTCAGGACTAAGTTGGCTGCTTTTGCTATCCAGGGGATTTCTTGTTTGTCTTCGCTGAATCTGTTGAAGTATTTTTCCATTGCTTCTATGCCATCGTTGTGGGGGATGTTTGTGTAGAGGGTGACTACGTCCATACTCACTAGTAAATATTCCTGTCCTATTGTTTTGATTTTTTGTAAATGATTTAAGAAATCCATGTCTCGAATATATGAGGGTATAACTCTTTTACACATGAGCGGAGTCAGTTTATAATCTACATAGGCCGAAAGTTTTTCTGTTGCTGTGCCATTCGTTGATATTATGGGACGACTAGGGTGATTTTCTTTATGTATCTTGGGTTGGAGGCGTAGGCGACCTGGTTTGGGGTCTTTTGGAAGGATTGATTTAGTTAATTTATCGTCTATTACTCCAGCTTCCTTCATTTTTGAGCAAAGATTAATAACATCATTTCCAATTTGTCTTGACTTATCTTTCGGCAGAAGTCGGTACACCGATTTGTCATTTAATTGACGCATCCCTTCAGCGACATAGTCAGTTCGGGATAGAATGCAAATACCTCCTCCTTTATCGGCCGGAACTATAATGATATCTCGTGCTGCCCGTCCTTCGAGTTCTTTTAGTGCCATAATTTCATCTTTATTTAAATTAGGGTAAGCATGTTTTTCAGGTGTCTTTTTGCCTATTTCCTGTTTGATAGTATTGGCGAAATGATCCAGATCCGAGTTTCGGCCCGATGGAGGTGTCCATTTGCTAGCTATTCTTAATGACTTCGGGTACGGATTGTTGGGCTCTGTAACATTATCATCGAATGTTGTATTGGCAAAAAATTCTCTTAATCTGTAATTCCTGATAGTTCTGTCGACATCCGCCTGTAGCTGGAATTTATCAAATCTTCCTGGAGTGGGACTGAAGCCAAGTCCTTTCTCAAGGATGCTAATTTGTGATTCGGTTAGGGGAATATTTGACAGGTTGTGTATTTTGGATGGCGTGGAGGTCATTTCTTCTTTTTGTCTCCTCTTCTTTTTGCTGAATCTTCTATTTTTTCTTTTTGATTCGGACATATTCCTACATTCTCGGTCTGAATTTTTGAAATTGTTTCCTTCTTGAGCTGACTTTTGCTTTTTCGTTCTGGTTCTGTCAAGTTTTTCTTTCCATTTTTTGTTGGACATGCCGATCATTGAACGAATTGTATTCAAAGTATTTGAGTCTAGTTTATTTTCTAACCGCTTTTCCACTTCTATTCTGTGTGTAGTTACGTCTCTCAGTCTTCTACAGCATTCTTTGAGAGCGTGTCTGGTTAATTGCTTTGAAAATGTTTTGTGTAGATTATGCCATTTTTCTTTGTTCTGCACTGGAACTGGACACGACTTTAAGGAAAGTGTAAGAAGGAAAATTGCAACAAACAAACAGAAGACAGCAGAAATAAGGATTCGTCAAAAAGTTACATGCAACTCGGAAAATGTAATCTACCTGATAAGCTGCAAAAAGTGTGGCATGCAATACATAGGAGAAACGGGAAGACATTCAAAATACCGAATAACTGAGCATATTAGAAGTATAAAAACCCAAAACAAAGATCTGGTTGTTGGCGCCCATTTCAGTCAACCGGGACATTCGCTTAAAGATTTGAGTGTCATTGGCATTGAAAAACTATTTCATGACCACATTTATCGAAAGAACGAGGAATCCCATTACATTCATCTTTTCGGGACACACGAGCCACAAGAGATGAATATTAAGGAAGTTTAGATATTTTCATTCATTGTTTTAATCAATTCTTGTACCTAATATATTTTTTTCTCAGAATTGGATCATGCATGGCCAGATATGCTAATAACAGACAAAATATCACTATATTACATTTGACACACAGACAACTTTTCTGGTCTGCATTATACAATACTGAGAAATAAAACACCATTGTCTAATTTGGACTTCAATTGCTAAATATAAAACAAAGAGAGAGATCTCATCAATGACACTTATTTCGGCCACCCGCTGTTATTTAATCAAGAAATTCACAGATTTTATTGATTATTTAACATGGGTGACTCCTATAATTCTACTATGATTGTTTAAATATGCATGTAACTGCTTTTCGTGTTGTAGTTGAATTATGTATGTCTGAAGAAGTCTGACCTTGGTCAGACGAAACGTTACAGAAATATATTTGTGTTAGTGTGCAGCAAGACTCTTGAATCACTTATTCTTTTATGTTTTCTTTTCAATAAATTATTTTTTCTACAGTTTATATGGTCGACATATGTCAGCTAATCCTGCTCCTCCGCCGAAGAAAGCTGATAAATCGAAAAAGACTAGCAGAAAACCTCTCCAGCACAAGAATAAGTGAATGTATCCTTGTCTAAGATCAACTCTAACTTGCCGCAAACATCATATGCTCAACACTTCTGCTGAATACTTATATTTGCTTGTATACGGAAAGCTGGCTGAAAGAACTACATCAGAGAGCATTGAACTACTGTACATCGTCATTATGTAACAACAAATTACTCTTGACAAAGAATCAGTGGTTGGGTGTTATGAACATGATGCTGATGGCTAATATGTTACATGTATCAGGACCTAGGACTGGATTTTAGCTAACAATTTGGTTCGGTTATTTAGCAGACTATGCTCATGCATTCAATCACTTTATCATTAATCTCTATATTCACTTTATCATCGATGTCTAGGGTCGAAGTAAATTTTCATCTATTTGAATCGTTCATCCAGATTAATGTCTATTTCGCATTAAATACTGACTGCTATATTAGAGTGAAAAATTGGTTACCCAGATTAATGTCTATTTCGCATTAAATACTGACTGCTATATTAGAGTGAAAAATTGGTTACAAGTCTTTTATAATTTTTCATGTTGTTTACTTGGAAGCAAGTCCTCCGTTAGAATTCATCTTCAACTTCCATTTTTCAGTGCTGGAATTACTGACCAATGAGAAAACAATTTTCTGTTATAGACTTTATCTGCATTCAGTGTTTGAGGTTTTACAAGTTTTGAAATACTCCCAGCCGATTTTTTGTCTTGAGGAATTTTCTTCAAATATCGATCAGTAACCTTGAGCACTTCTGCAGCTGCCTGTAATCATAATTCAAAAATATGTAAATAGCTATTTTTGATTCAACGTTTTTATACATAGTATTATTTTATATCGCTAAGTGCATTTAAAAATTATAATGTCATGTACATGGAAAACTACTTGTTTTGTGATGCATTGGTTCAATGGATTCTCAAAGACGAACATAATCTGTGTTGACTATATAAAATTATGACCGAGCACTGATGCTTATTAACTGACGAACGAATAAAATTGTCCAGCTCCTTGGTGGTAATATGAAATCCTAGTGCTAAAAATTAGCCTCGCCTTATCTAATCCATGTTCCGAATGCCCGTTCCTTCAAATGAATGTGTTTCAAGAGCGCATGTTTCCACATTGAAAATCCTAACATTAACCTGGTTGAAGGCTGAGGCTCAAGCAAGGCTTGTTCCCTCCGCAACGTGCGGAGATAATGAGCATCGTTGCCGAAAACCACCGACTTGTTCAATCTTATGATTTTGTGCCCAAGTTGATGACAATGTTATCTCCATGATTACTATGAATTGCCAAGCCAATCTGCGTAAGTCATCAACTGTCAGCCCATAAAACAGTCAGATGTTCCAAATCCTTTTCTTCTTCGGTGAACAATGTGAAAATCTTGATTTTTTTACAATGTTCTCCTGATGATGTAGCTGCCAAATATCTGTCTAGGGTTGCTCTGCCTATTTCGTACAAACGGCACGCTTTTTCATTTGATATGTCCCAATCGTTCTGTTGTTTTCAATATTCAATAATGCCGAAATTATATTGCAAATATACAAAAAATGGTGGGAAATAAAGACATTTTCATCATACCTGGCGAGAGAAAACAAAATACTTCGGACAACAATCGCGACTGGTTGTTCTACCCCAATTTTTCCAAAAAAAAAATAGCTTATACTACAATAAATTAATTAGGTTCTTCCGGTATGTTAGTCGTTGGGTTCTTCATAACCGAGATGCCTTCTTAGGTGCTGACCTGTAAATAACGTGCTACCTGGTAGAACCAATGAGTTTTATGAATCGTTTTTGGTGGGACTTCCGTAGTAATCGTACCGTGTTACAGGTGATGGTAACATAAAGCTGTAAACATCATAAAACCGGCGATGGCCCGCACCTCAAGGTGACAATACCTTTCCACTTTCCCCACCGATGGTCACGAAGTTACCCCCGCAGAGCGAAGTGGTCGGCGTGGAATGAGGTATTGCAAAGCCGTTTCCTCCTTGCTACAGAATTCTATAGATTGTAAAACGCGCCCGATTCGTTATATATACTTTGTGGTCGATGGGGGTAGAGCATGACAGGACAACTGACTAGACTTTCTGATGCCTTTTCAGCTTTGCTTTATTCCTGTTTTCTAAATGAGAACTGCTCCCGATTTATACAGACGAGGCGGTCATACTTTATTCCGTCAGATGAGGCGGTCATTTTTTCTCTCATTCCGTGTATGTTGCATTTCACTTTTGTTCCGATCTTTTCTCTATAACAAAGCACAAGCGCTAAACAGTAACGACGATAATCAATCAATCAATCAATTTGGTTACTCTGATACAAACAAAAAACAAAACAACAACAAAGGGCAAACAAAATACAGAGGACCTGGAGGACGGGCATAACTTAATAATAAAGTTAAATACGTACAAGTACGTGCCCGTCCCCCAAAAACAGTCAAAACACAATAAAACAAAAACACGATGTGACATCGGGCAATATCTTATAAATTCAAATTGAAATGTGAGACGTGATCAAGAAAATAGGCGTAACATAACTTATAGGAAGATAACCAGAAGTTGTTGTATGTATGTTATGCCCATACAAATAAAATTCATTAATATCATACATGAACACCAGGATATAAATTAAATCATTTAGTGCCTCCAAGATACGTTTTAGCTCTTCTGTCATATAGCTCACGTCCAACTCTAATCTCCCACGTCTCTTAATTTTGATGCTGCTGTATGACTTCATCGGTTTCTGCTTCAGGCAAGCTGTCGGTGCATGTTCAATTTGAGTAGGTTAGAGGCCATCGCATTCATACAACATTACCACACATTGTAAATTCGCGATGTCGTGGGAATCAAGGCCAAATGCGAATCCATTACCAGCGTGAGCAACCTATTGCAAATATTATTACATTCTTTTGATGTATTGTCGACGTAAAGCAATCGAAATTGTGTAATATGGATGCTTTCTCATAACTTCGGCGGGTGGCGCATCGTACTAACTACCAAGCGTTTCGCAGATTCGAATTCAGAGGGGTTCATAATTCATGCATATGTAACAAATACCTGACTAATAACCGACATGCATCAGTAACTCGACGAGAGACCGTGGTATGCCATATGGTTAAGTCGTCTAATCGGCATTCCTCTTTCCAGGTTGAAAATGATATCCTATTTGGTCGGTAAGATCTTGTTGGCATGGGTTAGTCAGATTCAAACGAAACATATTCAATATGTACATCGCGTGCATCGTTCATACAAAGGTATATATAGAGCAGTGCTTGTCAACCTGGTGTGCCCTCAAGGATGCACTACGTCGATAGGGTGTACCGAATATTGTAGGCTTTACTCGTACGATACGTTAGTTTTAATTGTATTTATAGATAATATGCAGCTTGTCACAAATAACGCAACGTATTTGTCCAAACTTATGTACAATGTATGTCTAGCTATTTTCGAGTTTTTGTTACCTGCTCGCCATAACGCCAGCACATCGATTCCTAAGTATTAATCGAATTCGTGTTGGCACTGTCGTTCTTTTTGCCAATAAAATAAAAATATGCATAATATGCTGATCAAATAACCCAGCGGCAGAGTAACGAGTGTTAAACAAACCTTGAAAAATGAACAAACAGGTAAACTTAAACAATGTAGTCATATGTACTTAATTAACCACTGTCAATAAAAAGTAACAGATAAGCGATGGCTTGTACGCTGGTTCTAATTAGGACTGGCAATGATTAATATCTATGTGTAGAAGATTCCCTTAATCGAGGACAGTCTGACAACAAACAAAGAGTTTGCTCAGTCGTTTTCGCAATACGCACGGCTAAGAATCTAGAGGAGCAATGTCAAAAAGTAGGAATTGTGATTTATGTACAGGCTCAATTCTAGTCAAAGTTTTAATTGCAGGTAGAACTTATGCGCAGAGAAATCCACTATAATTATTTCGATGAAAAAGACATTTTATTTCATATTTCGCTGTAGACCAGAGGGTTATGTTCATTTCGTGTTTTATGTATGTCGTATAAAAAATTTTGAGGAAATAAAATTCCTTCTCAATTTTCATGGCGCTTCAAATGCGCTCTGACACAAAAAGAAAAAGCAAGAAAATGCATGGCCGGCTTTAAAACCTTTTATATCTAAAACGACGCTATATGTCGTCGATACAACGATTTTTTTTGTGATCTAGCGACAAAAGGTCATACAGGCAGGGATCATAACATGTATAAAAACGCGAAGTTTAAGGCATTGTGGAATAGTGTGAGAAATCGGACCGAAAGCAGACCAGAAAGGCATTATTTATGGGCCGTTTCGCCGTTCAAATATTTATTATATTTTCTGATACATTTACATTGCCTCTCAAACTGAAGTTTTTCAATCAAGTGTTAGGCAAATTCCAAATATTATTACGATATTCTGATTTGTATTACAACTTACAAGCAATAGCTGGAGACAGAAGACTTTTCTCATTCTCCGGGTCGCATAATGAGTTCGCTCTTGAAAACAACATTGTATTCTCGACGTGGAACCCAAAATCATTTATTCGTCAACGCAATATAAACATATCGTAAGAAAATACATTGCAAGTAACAAAGGGACTAACTTAAATTGCGTGATAGGAGTCCCGAGGTACCCCGAAAGGTTATCAATCGCGACACCAACAGAGCTAGATTTGAGTACCAAGTCTGCTAGAAAGCGGGAAGAGGATGTTGATATATGAATGTGTAAGATTGAAACGATCGAAATAAATAACATCGACTTCTTGGAATGTCAGATTAAATCTAAAACTTGAAATTAACCGTTAGTTTTATAAACATTCTAACAGTTCTAGTTTTATTTTTCAGTTCTAATCTAATCTGTAGTATCCTGACTGTATCTCTAATACGTTGACAATGAGATATCTGCTCCTTCCATCAGTAGTTTGTTTTATATTTCTATGTAATTCAGGTAAGAAAACATGTGTTAGGATAATAGTTGGGCCATGCATTAAGTGTTTTCCGCTGTGAAATCCCAAAAATTCTATTGGTAGCGGTAGTGTCACACTGTCACTCACTGTATTTCTAACTGTATTTGCTGAGTTATCATAAAATTTCAAGGCACTTGCAGAATCATCCAATTCACAGTTTGATATTTTGGTTCTTTTATTGATGATTAAAATTGTAACGAATGTACCACCCAGCGTATACAACTTATATAGCTAGTACTGTCTTCTGATCAAGTTTTCTAAAAGTGATCCCTACGTTAATTGCTATTTCACACCAATCGCAACCATGGGTGTTACGAAACCTTGATAAACAATTTCATGGGCTTATCACCAGTTTTCAACATTTATTCGAGTCTTTGCCATACAAGTCACTCCTATAACTATATGTTTTTTGCAATTAAAATGTGAAATAGATAAATATTGCATAATGGTATTCGATTGTTTGAGTTGTGTTATCCCGGATTTCAAATATATATTTTAAGATTGTTCATTGTCCGTACTCTAAGTATCAGTATCAGGTATCGTTTTCTACTACTGGGATTAAATGAAATGTGCAAATGAAAATGCCACCATCTAACTCTTTCAAACCATCTAACTCTTGCCGATTTTAGCTGTTGACAGGACTTAAACCAGGGTACTCCCATAGTGTGTATACTAGGTTAAAGTAAGGCCATAATTTTATTCCGATTTTCCTTACTTTAGTTCTGACTGTCTGTGTTAGTCAAGTGAATATACCCCTGCCCATAGGTATCAGTCCATTCACACAACTTGATGTGAAGTATATAATAATTAATACACAAAGAAAAAAATATTCATTTTAGTATTATCAGACGTATTATTCGATTGTGATTTTGAAACTGACAACTGTGGATTCGTGGATGATATCGCTGTTGAAGTTCAGTGGAAACGATAT